TACAACAGGGAACTGGAAAATTTAAAAAATCAAAAGCAAAAAGCGCACAAATTTTTAAAAAAATATAATAGTGAAGAAACTTTGGCATACTATTTAGACATTTGCGATCAGTGAAATTGGGCCGTGAATATGGCATTTGAGGAGTATAATTTAAAAACTGAACTTGAAATAAAATCTTGTCCTAGGAAATTCTTCAATTATGTGAAAACCAAATTAAAATCTGATAATTTTCCATCAAAGATGCATTTGGACGATAGGGTAGGTGAGAACTCGGATGATATATGCAATTTGTTTGCAAATTTCTTCCAAGAAATCTATACTACGTTTTCAGAAGATGACCGTGACCTTGAATATTTTGAATCTTATCCAGAATTTTCAAGTGACATCAGCGTAAGTCAAATCAAGGTTCATGATATCTCAAAGGGTTTAAACAATTTAGATGCATCTAAAGGTCCTCCGGTGACGGTGTCCAGTTTTTATGAAAACTTTAGCAATTGAACATACTGCTCCATTATTTTGGATCAATATGTAATTATCGTAATTATCGTGGTATAGCTATTATCTCTTGCATTCCGAAACTTTTCGAGGCTATTGTAAATGAAAAACTCTTTCTTCAATTTAAAAACAGAATAACTACTATGCAACATGGCTTTTTTAAAAGCTGTTCAACAACTACGAATTTGCTCGAATTAATTAATTATTCCTTGAATGCAATGGATAACGGAAACCATGTAGAAGTGTTGTATACAGATTTCAGCAAAGCGTTTGATCGAATTGACATACCCATGCTTCTTTTTTAACTTCAAAAAATGGGAATTCATTACGCACTCCTCAAGTGGCTTGAATCATATTTAACTGACCGCCATCAAATAGTAAAATACAAAGGAAAGTTATCAAATCCCGTTGATGTCACTTCAGGAGTTCCTCAAGGCTCCCATTTAGGACCACTTTTATTTATTCTCTTCGTCAATGACATATCTCTCATTATAAAGAAATTGAAAGTTTTACTATATGTTGACAATATTAAACTTTTTTGGAAATAAAAGATACCAAAGACATCATCACATTCAAAGAGGAAAGTCAGATATTCCATACTTGGTGTCAAAAAAGCCTGCTACAATTAAATATAAAAAAATTTAACTCAATTACCATTAGTAGAAAACAAATCCTACCTGATATAACAATCACTTTAGGAAACCAGATCGTAGAAAAGTGTGATAGAGTCAGGGATCTAAAGGGTGTCCACGATGAAATTGCCACACTATGAAATTGCTCTAACTTTTTAACCGTTGGGTAGAATTTAATGAAAATTTGGGTGGATTTAGTTCATAGTGCATTATTTACATCCTGCAAGTTTTAAAGTCCTGTGATCAAAACTCACGGAAATGGAGTCGAAAGAACAGCTCGTGCGTGATAAAATCTTGCGCATTCATCACGAGAACAAGGATCTCTCGCATCGTTCCATCGCTAAAACGTTGAGAATCGCGAATTCCACGGTGTCGCGAGTGATTAAGCGGTTCGAGGAACGGTTGACCACCGATCGGAAGCCCAGAAGTGAAGGAAAAAGTATTCCGTACAACACCAAAAATCACAACCGCGTAGTTGGGGCCTTCAACCGAAATCCGAACGCCTCTGTTAGGGATGTGGCTAAGAAGCTGCACCTAAGCCGAAGTTTTGTCCAGAAGGCCAAAACTAAGGCTGGGCTTCGAACGTTCAAGGTACAAAAGGCCCCTAATCGCGACGACAAGCAGAACAAGTCCGCCAAAACCCGTGCCAGGAAGTTGTACCTCAACATGCTGACGAAAGTTGAATGCTGCATCATGGACGAGGAAACATATGTGAAGGCCGACTTCAAACAGATCCCCGGCAACCTGTTTTTCACGGCCAAGGATAAGTTCAGCGTTCCGGAGCATGTCCGCACTCAGAAGATGTCCAAATTTGCGAAGAAATTCCTGGTTTGGCAAGCCATCTGCACGTGCGGGAAGCGGAGTGCACCTTTCGTGACCCAGGACACGATGAACGGACAGGTGTACATAAAAGAGTGCCTTCAGAAGCGGCTGCTTCCTCTCCTGAAGGCCCACAACGTCCCAACAATCTTCTGGCCGGATTTGGCCTCATGCCACTACTCCAAGGACGTGCTGAAGTGGTATGCGGATAATAAGGTCAATTTCGTGCCGAAAATGTTCAACCCTCCCAACACTCCGGAGCTCCGCCCCATCGAGAAGTACTGGGCGATTATGAAGCAGCACCTTCTTAAACGACCTAAGGTAGTGAAGACAGTCGAGGAACTGAAGAAAGTATGGGTTTACATGCAAAAAACGGTTGATTCACAGGTTGTGCAGAGTCTTATGGCCGGGGTTAAGGCCAAGGTGCGGGCATTTGCGTATGGACTGTAAATAAAATACGAGTAAAATGGTAAAATGAAGTTTAATAGTTATTTCTCAATCCCTGAAAATTTGATGGCAATCGGATGAAAACTCGAATTTTGCGAATCAATTTTGTGTGTGGCAATTTCATCGTGGACACCCTTTAGGTATTATTTTGGACTCAAAACTTACTTTCACCGATCATTATAACACAATTATTAACAGAGCTAACAACATGCTTGGTTTCATAAAACGTTTCTGCTATAACTTTCACGATCCGTATACGATAAAAGCATTATACATTGCTTATGTAAGGTCGATATTAGAATATTGCAGCATAGTTTGGTCTCCTTTTTCAATCACACTCGAAGATAGAATAGAGTCCGTTCAAAAGTAGTTTCTAATGTATGCACTCCGCAAGTTAGGCTGGACTGTATTTCCTCTGCCATCTTACACAGCTCGGTGTATGCTCATAAATATCCAAACATTAAAAGAGCGTCGTGAATTTGCTATGATTTCTACGATATCATATCACATCGCATTGATTCAATACAACTATTGTCATCCTTAAATTTATATACACCATCTAGGCATTTACGAAACAGAAATATATTTGCTACAAATCGTCATCGTACGAATTATGCCAAATTTGGACCCTTGAACCAAATGATGGACACATATAATAAGCACTGTGGTAACATTGACTTTACAATGGCAAAAACCAAATTAAAGCATTACATAAGCTAGAAGTATTTTTTTTTAACTTGTTCTAAAGACATATTATAAAAAATATAAACAAAGACAAAATTGTAAAAATAGCACTTAAGACAACAATTGTAAAACGGTCTACACTGATTGACGACAAATAAATAAATAAATATAGTCCTTTTCATGATCCAATAGCTCGGTCACACCTTTCCCTTCCATTAAAAGGTTAACCAGCTCCTAATTTACAAGGAATATTCCTGAAAATACTTATGATCAACAAGAGTCCTGCAATACTTGTGAAAACACACTTACTTTCCATCATCTTGAAACCCTTAAGCTTCAGCGCGTGCAATTTTCTTGTAAAATACTGAATAATAATAATACTGTAAAATACTGAATACCGAAAACTTCGACCGACTCACAACTGGCGACACTAGAGATTCGATATTCGGTACTACAAGGCTGGATACTAGGGATTTGATTGAAATTTGCTTCGTCAGATTATTTTCGGTAAACGATCCGCAGTATTGAAGGTCTTGAATAGTTCTGATCATAATGTCAGTTTTCATACTCTCCGAACCAATGAAATCCAAATGCATAGACTACTTTGAAAATTATAAAAATGTTGGATTTAGCTCGGAAATTGCTGAATCACTGTAGAAAATAGCAGCAGGTTTGTTTGTTAAGAAATTTAGATCGAATGCAAAAATCAGGTGACTACGGGTGGCTGGGAACATCGTAACAATGTTGGATAACTACCCAATGAAAATGGTTCTTGGTAGCGTCCCGACAGGAACAAGACGAAGATGTGCGCAGCGAACAAGAAGGATCGATCAGATTGAAGGCGGCTTACCTAGTGAGTTGATAAACAAGATTAGGAATAATGGTCGATGAAATCCGTTTTTAACAACTGAAACTGGCTGATCCCATTTCAAGGACCTGGAATGCCGTACCGGTCTAGTACCAATTTAAGTAAAAATTCTGCAAAAGAACAAGGTGATATTCTACAACATAATAAAATCTAGCAAAGCGAGTATCCATACCCAAATGAATTAGCGATACTCGAGAACAAAGGAACATTCCTGTTCTTTTCATCGTCTGATCCGTTTCCTAGACGAGTATGCCAATGGGAAGCCAAATTTGAGCAACTCCAGGAGTCCTTGATGTTGCGTGATATTGTCATACGACGCTTTCCGAACGCGAATATAGTTCTACCCAAGTCGGTTACAAATTAAAGTTTGTAAACAACAACGTAACTGTGCGCACCTCCGAGCACTATGGACACATCTTGCGACGTACTCTACCAGAACCTCAAACGACGTTGATACGAAACGTCAGTGAAGGATCGAGCTGAAACTAACCAACTGTGAGGGTGTGTGAGAATGGTCAGAATACGAATGAAAAAGATAAATAAACGGAGAAGAACGATAATTAATTGAATGTAAAAAAGCATTGGAGCAAAAGTGTAGTTGCATCGTTGCATTAAAGTAAAATATAGTGAATATTAGCATATTAGGAGTTTAAATACTTATTCCAAAGCGGAACTTAGTGGGAATTTTTATAAAGTACATTCGGATTCAATCGTAAGTGAAATTTAGTAAATTTATCATGAATTATTTTGTAAATTTATTCAACTGTTGTAGTGTTGGAAAACTTCCCAAAAAATCGTAACCTGTAAGAGAAAGAAGCGGATTAGGTAAACCATAAATGTAAGTTGAAATTATTGATAAGTAACGCAAATATATTTAGTTTTAAGCTGTTAACAACACAAAAGTGAAGTGCTGCTGTGGAAATTCGGTTTTTATTAGGCTGGTCCGAACAATTTCTTAAAAATTTATGATGGTTCGACCAAACCCTAACGCCGATCCGGAACGGTCAGGATATAGTTGTGCGGGATGCCAACGTCCAGATTGTGCTGAGGAAGAAATGGTATTTTGTGACAATTGCCAGAAGTGGTACCATTTCGGTTGTGCTGGCGTTACCGAGGAGGTAAGAGACGTTTCTTGGAGCTGTCCGGAGTGTAAGATTGTTGACGTGCGTGATGCTGGTTCATCTGAGCTGCAAGAGGAGTTGAAAAAGCTCGAAGAGGAGAAGAAGAGGCAGAAGCAGGAACTGGAAAGGGAGAAGATTTTGTACCGCAAGCGACTGGAGATGCAGCAAGAGGTGTTAGAGATGCGCCAGCAGCTGGAAAAGGAAAAGCGGGAAATGGAACTGGAGTTTGAAAAGACGCAAATGAAGAAGAAACTTGTCGAAGAAGAAGCCCATCAGAAGAAGCTCGACAAGATGCGGACGGAAATGGAGGAGAAGCTGGAACAGTTGAAGATGAAGCGGAACAAGAACATTGATGGTAAAAAGGTACAGGAAGAAGAAGAAGCTGCTGAAAGTAGTGAAAAGGGAAGCTCGAAGAAGGAAACCCAGAAGACAACGAAGTCGGGGGAAGTAAAGCCAGAAAAATCAAAGCTCGAGAGGAAAAGAAAAACCTGGGAACGTGGATCCGCCGGTAGTAAATGCTGCTGACATTCGAGGAGCGTACCGTAAACACTCGACACAAAAAGTAGCCAAAAAACCTGCAAAGAAGCCAGTTGAACGTCCAATAAGTCCAATAAGTCTGCCGGAGAGTTCGAGACAAGAACGATACACCCTTTGGACACCCAGAGGTCCCGAAGAAGAAGAAGGATAAAAATAACAGCGGTAAGCTGATGAACCAAGTGAAGGAAGTATCGGAGTCAGATAGTAGTGAGAGTTCCGAAGAAGAAAAAAGTTCGGAGGAGGAAGAAAAGAGCTCCGAGGCGGAGGAAGAAAGTTCCGAAGAGGATAGTTCTGAAAATGAGGAAGTGAGCTCGGAGTTCCGAGGAAGATCATAATCAGAGAGATTCTCGGCGTAGAGTGCGACATCGTCATAAAGAACCAACGAAGGCCCAGCTATCCTCTCGCCATTTCCTATCCAGGAAGTTGCCGACTTTTTCTGGAAAGCTGGAGGAATGGCCCATGTTCATAAGTAGTTACGAGACGTCAACAAAAGCGTGCGGGTTCTCAAAAGTCGAAAACTTAGCGCGTCTTCAAGAATGCCTGAAAGGAGAGGCACTGGAGGCGGTGAGAAGCAGACTTCTACTACCCAAAGCAGTCCCGAAGATTATCGAAACCCTGCGGATGCTGTTTGGCCGTCCGGAGGGACTGCTCAATATGTTGCTGACAAAAATCCGCAATGCAGCGCCACCGAAAGCAGAACGGTTAGCGAGTTTTATCAGCTTCGGGGTAGTAGTTCAACAGCTTGCTGATCATCTTGAAGCTACAGGTTTAACCGCTCATCTGGTGAACCCGATGCTCATCCAAGACTTGACAGATAAGCTGCCGGCGGGAACTCAAATGGAATGGGTGCGGTATCGCAGGAAGAGTGTAATCGTTACGATACGAACTTTGTCCGACTTCCTGTCTAACATTGTCAAGGATGCAAGCGAAGTCACGTCATTCGGAGAAGCTGCCTGGTTTGTGGAGCAACGACCGTCGAAAGGGAAATCGAAGCGGGAACATGAAGGATATTTGCATGCTCATAGTGGGGTAGAGAGGAGTCAAAGTCTGCCAGTGAAGGAAAGGAAACCGTGTAGGATTTGTGAAAGAGTCGACCATAGAATTAGGAATTGTGAAAGATTTCGCAAACTCCGACTTGCCGACCGTTGGGAAGCTGTACGAAAGTGGAATCTGTGCCAGTTGTTTTTTTTTTCTTTTTTTTTTATATCTTTATTAAGGAGACTTTCAGCCCTGGGCTGGTTCGTCTCCTGTGCCAGTTGTGTTTGAACGAGCATGGCAACCTTCGATGCAAGTTAAACTTTCGTTGCAACGTCAGTGGTTGTAATGATCGTCACAACCCACTACTCCATCCAGTGGGTTCGGTTGCTGGTTCGAACTGCAACATCCACGCCATCCTACCGAAACCCTCCGTCATCTTCCGCAAGATGCCAGTTACGCTGTATTGCGGAAAGTTCTCTGATAACACGATCGCCTTCCTGGACGAAGGATCGTCGTATACGCTGGTAGAGAAACCGCTGATCAGCAAATTGGGAGTACGAGGAGTGACCCAACCACTTCGTGTGACTTGGACTGCGGGAGTCTCCCGGATCGAGAAGGACTCGCAGAGAGTAGATCTGTTTATCTCCGCAATAGGATCAGCTCAGCGTTTTCAAATCAAGAGTGCGCACACGGTGGAGAGTTTGAAGCTGCCGCAGCATACTCTGTCTCTGACAGAGATAGTAAAGCAGTAGTCATCTACATTGTGTACCGGTTGCAGACTTCCAGCAAACCACTCCGCAGACCACCTATACGCGCCGATCGAGTCAGGGATAGGACGACCGGAGGAACCATTAGCAGTCAGATCTAAGCTTGATTGGACCGTCTACGGACCAACGGGTCTCGAGAAAACGGATGGTGGAATGGTAGGACATCGTAGGTGCAGTACTTTGTCGAATCAGGAGCTCCACGACCTCCTCAGGAACAAACACACTTTGGAGGAATCAGGGATTTCCGTCGCGTTGCTGCCTGAATCCGAGTAAGTCAGACGAGCGAAGAAGATTTTGGAGAAGACGACTGTGAGGGTAGGTGATCGCTTCGAGACGGGTCTACTATGGAAGGAGGATGATCCGCACTTTCCCGACAGCTACCCTATGGCAGTGAAACGTCTGCAGTGTATGGAAAGACGTATGCAAAATGACTCCAAACTGTACAACAAGGTTCGCAGTACACAGCAAAAAAATAATTTTGATATCACGTCAAAGTGGATGCACTACAATCATGTCGAAAATATGGTGTAATATTACTTGCTAAAAAGGACAAAATTATCATTAATACAATTCATGAACTGACATTACGCTGCTTTTACTGTATTTGTTTATTTATGTGGTCATAAAAATTACATGAAATTTTCGACATGATTGTAGTGCATCCACTTTGATGTGATATCAAAATTATTTTTTTGCTGTGTATGATTGGCGATTATCTAGTAAAGGGGTACGCACACATAGCTACGCCGTCAGAGTTGGCTGCGTTCGACTACAGCAAGGTGTGGTACGTGCCTCTGAACATCGTGTACAACCCGAGGAAGCAGAAGTATCGTCTCGTGGGGGACGCCAGGGCAGAAGTTAAAGGCGTTTCATTGAACTCCAAGCTGCTGAAAGGTCCGGATATGCTAACCGCACTTCCCGCGGTGATCTGCAGATTCCGTGAAAGAGTGATCGGATTTGGTGCAGATATCAAGGAGATGTATCACCAGATGAAAATGTGTGAAGTGGATAAGCGGGTACTGAGATTCCTGTTCCGAGATAATCCTTCGATGGCACCGGTGGTGTATGTGATGGACGTAGCGACATTCGGCTCAACCTGCTCGCCATCTTCAGCACAATATGTCAAGAATCTGAACGCGAAGGAGTATGCTAGGCAGTTTCCAGAAGCAGCGGAGAAAATCGTCAAGAACCACTACGTGGACGACTACTTCGACAGCGCGAACACCGTTGACGAAGCTGTGAAACTGGCGAAAGAGGTTCGGTATGTTCATTCCAAGGGTGGCTTTGAGCTGCGTAATTGGGTGTCCAACTCAGAGATGTTCCTTCAAGCCACGGGCGAGCGGAAAGCAAATCAGTGCGTGAGGTTAAAGGAAGACAAGGAATCAGGTTCCGAACGAGTGCTGGGAATTGTTTGGAGTCCATCAAGCGGCGAGTTCTCGTTTTTCACTAAGCTGAGAGACGACCTCGCTCCATACTTGTCAGGCGAGCTGCTACCGACGAAGAGAATAGTTATGAGCTGCGTGATGAGTTTCTTCGACCCGTTAGGACTGCTATCCATCTTCGCTTTTTACGGGAAACTGTTGATCCAGGATTTGTAGCGGAGTGGATGCGAATGGGATCAGCAAATCGACCAAGAGTGTGCAGAGAAGTGGAGCCAGTGGATTGCAAGGCTCCCAGAGGTTGAAGAAGTTCGAGTTCCTCGTTATTATTTCTAAGGTGGGTGCATCGGCCGCATAGACTTTAGCAGCATACAACTCCACGTCTTCGTGGGTGCAAGTGAAAACGTATTCGGCGCTGCAGCGTACCTCCGCATAGAGACGGCTTACGGTCCACTGTGTTCACTTGTGATGGCAAGATCGAAAGTGGCGCCACTGAAGCATCTATCGATTCCTCGTCTGGAGCTTCAAGCGGGTGTGTTGGGAGCTAGACTCACAAATTCCGTCGTCGAGATACTGTCCTTGCAGATTAAGCAGCGATTCATCTGGAGCGATTCGAAGACCGTGCTATCATAGATCCAATCGGACCATCGTCGGTACAAGCAGTTTGTTGCGTTTCGGATTGGTGAAATTCTCAACCTTACGAAGCTCGAAGAATGGCGATGGGTTCCGACAAAGTGAAACGTAGCTGACGCAATGACGAAGTGGGAGAAAAAGCACAGTCTGTGTTCCGATGGGCCATGGTTCCGTGCTCCACACTTTCTCTACCGGTTGGAGGAGCAATGGCCGGAGCAACATAGCGTCACCCCGAACGTTTCCGAGGAGATTCGAGCATGCCTTCTATTCCACGACGTTACGGTGACAGAGCCCACAGCGGTTTTCCAGATGGAAGGTACTAGTTCGGACAGTAGCATGCGCTTGCAGATTCGTGTCGAATTGCAGAAGAAGCGAGATGGTTTGAGGATCGAGGCAGTATCGACAACCGAAAATGCGAAGAAGGTAATGAAGAGAAGTTTGCCAGCAACAAAAGTACCGTTGCAGCGAGAAGAGTATCGGAAGGCGGAAGTGTACCTTTGGAGATCGGCACAAGCGGACTGTTTCATGGACGAAGTCAAGGTGCTAATGAAGAACCGGGAACTTCCATACGAGGAGTGGCATCAATTGGAGAAGAGTAGCTATCTTCATAACCTGAGTCCGTTCTTGGACGAGCAAGACGTGCTGCGAATGGAAGGAAGAGTGGCAAGAGGTTCGTCTCTGCCATAAGAGCTCAGGTTCCCGATCATTCTTCCGAAGAAACATCCGGTGACCAACAAGCTGCTCGAGTTCTATCATCAACAGGTTGGTCACGGCAACATGGAAACCGCCGTTAACGAAATCCGGCAACGCTTTCACATCCAGAACCTGCGAGCGGAGATGAAGCGGATCGTGAGGACCTGCGTGTGGTGTAAGGTGAGGAAGTGCCAACCGAAGAACCCCAGAATGGCTCCACTGCCGAAGTCGCGTGTTACGCCGAACTTGCCGCCGTTCAGCCACACCGGAGTAGACTACTGTGGACCATTTATAGTTACCGTCGGTCGCAGGTCCGAGAAAAGATATGTCTGCTTGTTCACCTGTATGCCAACAAGAGCCGTCCACCTTGAGGTTGCTCACAGCCTGACAACTGAAGTGTGCCTGATGGCCGTACGGCGCTTCGTATGCCGTAAAGAAAAACCGCTGGAATTCTACTCCGACAATGGGACGAACTTCCAAGCAGCCAGCAAGGAGATCATGAAAAGGATCGAGATCGAATGCGAAGACGCGTTCACCGCTTCCAGAACCCGCTGGAACTTCAACCCGCCCAGCGCACCTCACGTGGGTGGGGTTTGGGAGAGGCTAGTACGCTCACTCGAGGCAACGTTGAACGTGCTCAACGATGGACGAACGTTGACCGACGAAGTGCTGCTGACCACTCTTGCGGAGGCCGAAGATCTGATCAATTCGCGCCCTCTGACGTACGTGTCCTTGGAGCCGGGAGTGGATGAAGCTTTGACGCCAAATCATTTTGTCCAAGGCGTTGGAGCAATACGAACGGAACATTCCGTTCAACCAACGAACGAGGCTGACGCTCTCCGAGACCGTTACAAGCGGTCGCAATTGCTGGCAGATAAATTGTGGACTCGGTGGATTTCTGAGTATTTGCCGTCGATCAACCAGCGTACGAACTGGCACTCAGAGTCGTTGCCATTAGAACGTGGTGACCTAGTGTATATCGCGGACGACATCACAAGGAAGAACTGGATCCGTGGCATCGTAGTCGAAACCTACCAAGGAGCGGATGGTAGAATCAGGCAGGCTGTAGTAAAGACCGCTAAAGGTGAGTTCAGTTGTGCAGTGTAGTTGCATCGTTGCATTAAAGTAAAATATAGTGAATATTAGCATATTAGTAGTTTAAATACTTATTCCAAAGCGGAACTTAGTGGGAATTTTTATTAAGTACATTCGGATTCAATCGTAAGTGAAATTTAGTAAATTTATTATGAATTATATTGTAAATTTATTTCAACTATTGTAGTGTTGGAAAACTTCCCAAAAAACGTAAACTGTAAGAGAAAGAAGCGGATTAGATAAACCATAAATGTAAGTTGAAATGAATATTGTTAAAATTATTGATAACTAACGCAAATATATTTAGTTTTAAGCTGTTAACAACACAAAAGTGAAGTGCTGCTGTGGAAATTCGGTTTTTATTAGGCTGGTCCGAACAGTAACAACAATTAATCACTATTGAATCTACACTTCGAAACGAGATGCAAGAGTTAAACCACGTGATTACACCGCCATGAATCTTTTGACACTTTGTATAGCAGAATGACTGTTCTGTACGAGAATCGTTGTGCACGGAGCATTGCGGGAAAACGCGCAAAAACTAATGACAGCTGACCCAGTGCATGAAAAATAAATATACATTGAATTTTTGAAGGGGGTGACAAAAGAAAAACTTTAGATTTGGTCCAGCCTTATTACTTCGAAAAAAAAACTATAACATATACGTGTTTCGTTTACTACTTGCAAACTCCTTCAGTATCTAGTTATAGCAAAGATGAATAATATGAAAAATAAAATAGTCTATAATAAGACACTGAAGATGTTTGCAAGTAGTGAACGAAATACGTATATGATGTAGTTTTTGTTAAGTGATAGTGAAAGTAAATATTGAAAGTGAAAGTAATACAATAGTAGTAGAGCTAAAAGGAAAAACAACGTAATAAGGTATACAATTATCCTACTAAAACGCTCATCAATAAGTTAAGATAGTAATATTTGATTAGGGTTTTTGATCTAAATTCCGTCCTTCTACGCACAACCCGCACTTTACCTCTCTTTTGTGTACGGCGTTGAACAAAAAATTGAATATTTCTGTCAAAGATGACTTCTAAATTTATTCACCTTTCCATACGTACGGTTGCATTTAATATAATAATATTAATAGTCATATAAGATAAAGAGTCACAAATTGTTGAGATATTGTTTAAAATCTAATACTGCTTCTTGATTCTAAATTCGTCCTACGAGTTTCAATTCCATCCTAACGCATTGAAACGCCATTAGATTTTTTTTTGTCCAATGGATAAATGTAGAAAAGGGGGATTCGCTAGGAGCGTTTCTTTTGTTTTGAGAACAATGAGCGTAAATATTCATACAATGCGCTCTAATAGGATTTATGTTGTAGCTAATGAACTAACGCATCGGAACAAACCTATTATTTATTTATGCACGGTGAAATCATTAATATTATTGATCTTTTCTGATCCATAGAACGGAAATGGGCGATTACGACGAAGTAGTAATTCCACATAAAGATCATAAAATCTTAATTTGATGCCATCCCAGTCCCATACAATAGGTAATCCACTTTTTGAAATGCGGGCGTGAATTAGGGGGCCTCATAGTCTAGTAATGATAGTAAAGGCACGGTATTACCAAGCCGGAGGCGGCGGGTTCGATTCCAGGTCCGGTCGAGGGAATCTTTCGGGTTGAAAATTTTCCCGACTTCCCTGGCCATAGAGTATCATTGTACTTACCACACAATAAACAAATTCATGCATTGCTATTGGCATCGAAAGCTATCAATTAATAACTGTGGAAGTGCATTTGGAACACTAGGTTAAGAGCACACAATAAGCTAATATGCGCTAAGCAACAATCTTCAAAATGTGAATAAGAAGAAGAAGTTAGTCCGCTACTTCGTTTCCTTCGGACTTAACCTTGCCCATGTACATATGTAGAACAATGATAAATATCGAAATATTAATTGAAATCGATTCATTATCATCCAAACATAAGGCACACAATGCAACTAAGATCGTAGTAATTTTAAAATGCATTTGCCGTCTTCCCGCGAAGTTAACTATAGTCGAAGACCTCTTTTATATACGATTTTTCGAATTTGATTTGCTACCTCGCTTCATCATTTTTCATGAGACACGATCAGAATCAACAATCTAGGTACGGAACCATAAATCACATATATTTGCCATTAGCTTTCATAAAAAATTTAACTCATCTCCAGTTGTCAATAATCGTCTTAAATTTGTCATCAACTTTTCGATCGTAAAGGCTGTTGCTCTTTTACCGTAGATTACAGGTACACATTAAATTACCCTCTCCCGTTCGTGACAGACCTCGAGCGACGAGAGCGTGAGTTCCTTTTTCTCTCTCTCTCTCTCGCAGCATCCAACCAACCAACCAGCCATGCAACCGCGCTCGCCATTGCTCATTTTCCCCCATTTCCACATGGAAAACTCCAGTTTTCCAACAAAACTGTTGATCCGCGGTCGCGAAATCCCCCGGAGAGCAAAAGCAACCGGAGAACCAGACTGTGAAAGAGAGTGAGAGTTTACTACTCTCTGCTCTCCACATTCGCTCAACGAATGAACCCCCCAGCGTGTACCAAAATCCTGCTCCAATTGGTCGCGAGTTTTCGCTCTCTTTCAATCTCTCTCAGTAGCCCTTGCACTCCACGTGTAAACATCAATATCACGCACCGCACACCATCCATCGCCGCCCGGTCGGCGGTAGTAAATCTTTCCAGCTACCAACCAACCAGCTGCTGCTGGTGGTGTGGATGCTAATATTATTGTTGCCTTTCGCCCACCCACCAACACCGCACTGCACACGCACACCTGGCGAAACATGGTGGTGCATTCTACTCTCGATATGGGATTCCGATTTCGGTGAACCTTGCCCTCGCATATCGCATGAAGATAGGTAGGGCAGTAGCTAGCATTGCATTGAGTGCGGTCGTGTGAGTTGTTGTTGGTTGATGGACCACCACCACCGCCGCCGCCGGTTGAATGCACAGACAGCGAGCGTGCATTGAAAGGCTGCGTGATTTAGGTGTCTGTAGGCCAACATCGCAGGTTAGTGGGTTTTGATTCCATGGGTGTTTCTGGGAAGAGATAAACTAACTGATGATGCAAGTAGGGAAGCGACCCCATCCAAATTCGTCCCCCTCCATATCTCGCTCATTATGGTGGATTTGTGTTATTGGCAACGTATTGCAACGTTTTGTGGACTTTAAGTTAAACTAATCAAACATTATTTTTTTGTGGTGGATCTTTCGTGGGGAAGGGAATTGTAAAGGTCTTCCCATGAAGTGATTTTGATGTAAGAGATGTTTATATTACGAGGTCCTCACCAAATAGGCAGTTTTTCCCCCTCAGTAATTTGATCTATTGTAGTAAATTCCGTGTCCTTAGTTTAGTGCATGTCGTATTACTCCACCAGTATTGAGAAATGGTGAAGTATTCGATTTTTTTTACCGTTTTCATTCTTGCATTTATCGCAATGAGCCGACTCGAATTGAAAGGTCCCGCTATTTAAACTCTTCGGAGGGTTGAAACACCCTCCAAAGGCTCTCCCCTGTGTCAGTCAAATTTGGATTCCTTAGCAGTCTACACACTTAAAAATAACTATTTTTACATGAGACGTAATCCATCTTTGACGTAAATTATGGAACGTAAACAAACATGTCATGTAAAATTAAGTGTTCCCAAACCGAAACATACGCAACTCGACAAAAAGTACGATTGATTGAATTTGTTTTCTCGTTTCTTTCAACTGATTCTTATGTCATTTGGGCCGCTTGCATGTGTCGGTCTCAGGGCACGGAAATTTACATGGCTTTTTGGTAGTGTGTAGTCTTAACCTCTTCAAACTAGGGAAAAACTAGTAGAAGATTAGGAATCACATAGATGAAGACTAACTGACTCATTTTTTCCTTGTTTCAAGCTCATCGTCGGTGGACTAAGCCGAGTTTTGTCACTATCAACAAGGCATAAAAAGTAACAAGTACTAAGATGTGTTCCTTTGATTACTGAAAAATCCTGTTCCCCTAGTTTGAAGTACACACTTACAAATAACTAATTTTACACGTGACGGAATCGATCCTTGACATAAAAAATGAGACGTAAATAAACATGTCGTGTAATATTAAGTGCTCCGAGACGGAAACGTTCATTGCTAGACGAAAAGAACGTTTGATTGAAGTTTATTTCGCGTCTGTTATGACTCAAATTTATGTCAAAATTGACGCTCGTATATGTCACTCTCAGAGCACCTAAATTTACATAAATTTTTCTAAGACTAGGCTTCGGTGGTAGATCTTACATTCCGTAACAAACCACGAAAAGGTGATCTACATACGCTACGGGGCTGATGCTTCCTTTGGCAAATATGTTCGGGAGTAAAAAGTCTTCAAAGTTATGGCAAGTGTATTACATAATTTACACACTTGATGGCGTCAATACGAAAATAATCAAGTTACGCTATCTTATATTCACAGATCGTGTACATATGGAAGCTTCTTGTCTTCGGAAAAGTTGTTCAGATGGACAACACAGCCCAGGATAGTTACACTCACCAGGGTGCGCTAGTGTCATTTTTTTTTTCTTTTAACTTAACATCTTGACTAGATAAAAGGTTCCTATCTTGGGCACTGCTGAATATTCAGATGGACTAGGCCTATTCTATGGTAAACAATTTAGTTCATAATTTATCTTCTAATCGGCGCTAGTTGATATTCATTTTAAATTCGCTATAACTCTAAATATTGATTAGATAGAATGTTTTGTAACCTCTTGCTACTTAGAAGGGAAAATGTTTCAGGGTTTTAGCTGAGCAGTGGGTCGCTTATAGTCACTGAGCACTTTCACGTAAACCTCAACATAAGTCACTCACCCTAGCAGGAGCAAAAGTCATCGTCCATTGTTAGTTCCTGATGCACGAAACGGTTACCAACCATAACTTTAGACAAAGGTGAAAAAGCTCCAAGGTAAAGGTCATAGATTTCAGTGGGCTTCACAGATCGAAGCCTGGATACCCCTTTCGGGCAAGAT